GTGAGTCATTTAGGATTGCTGTTTCTTTGCTGATTTTTTGTCTAGAGTATTTATCCAGTGGTGTATGTCAGTGGTGTATTAAAGTCCCCTACTATGAGTGTATTGTTGTCGATCTCTCCCTTCATATCTTCCAGGAATTTATTTTTTTTAATATATTTTTATTGATTTCAGAGAGGAAGGAAGAGTGAGATAGAAATATCCATGATGAGAGAGAATCATGAATTGGCTGCCTCCTGTAAGTCCCCACTGGGGATCAAGCCCACAACCTGGGCCTGTACCCTTTACTCGAATCAAACCTGGGACCTTTCAGTTCGCAGGCCAATGCTCTATCCACTGAGCCAAACCGCCTAGGGCTCCAGTTTTTTTTTTTTTAATGTATTTGGGTGCTCCTGCATTGGGTGCATATATGTTTATCAGGGTTATATCCTCTTGTTTTATCAATCCCTTTAGTATCATGAAGTGGCCTTCCTTATCTCTTGTTATGGCCTTCACTTTGAGGTCTATTCTGTCAGATACAAGTATTGCTACCCCAGCTTTTTTTTCATTTCCATTTGCCTGAAAGATATTTTTCCAACCCTTCACTTTCAATCTGAGTCCCTTGTTCTGAGGTGGGTCTCTTGTAGACAGCATATATATGGGTCATGTTTTCTTATTCATTCAGCCACTTGATGTCTTTTGATTGGAGCATTTAGTCTGTTTACGTTTAAAGTTATTAGTGAAAGGTACTTGTTTATAGTCATTTTTATTTTTGTTTTGTGTTCCTTCTTACCTTTTTATTTCGTCTTTTTACAGCATTTCTTGCATTGCTGGCTTGGTAGTGATAAACTCCCTTATCTTTTTTTGTCTGCGAAGCTCCTGATTTCCCCTTCAATTTTGATTGATAGTCTTGCTAGATAGAGTATTCTTGGATTCAGTCCTTTGCTTTGCAACACTTTGTATACCTCCTTCCATTCCCTTCTAGCTTGATGTGTTTCTGTTGAGAAATCACTTGATAATCTGATGCAGGATCCTTTGTAGATAACTCTCTGTCTCTCTCTTGCAGCCATTAACATTATCTCTTTGTCTTTAAGATTTGCCATTGTAATTATGATGTGTCTTGGTGTGAGTCTTTTGGGATTCATCTTGCTTGGGACTCTCTGTACTTGTGTAACTTTTTTATTCCCCATATCCGGGAAGTTTTCTGTCATTATTTCTTCAAATAGATTTTCTAATCCTTGCTGCTCTTCTTGTCCTTCTGGCAGCCCTATTATATGTATGTTACTTCGTTTTGTGTTGTCCCAAAGCTCCCTTAGGCTCTCCTCCTGCTTTTTCATTTTTTTCTCCAGTTGCTTTTCAGATTGAGCTTATTTCTCTACCTTATCTTCTAACTCACTAATTCGGTCCTCTGCTTCTTCTAGTAACTGTTGAAATCTTCCATGGTGTTTTTTATTGTAGCTATATCACTTTTGATTTCTTCCTGATTCTTGCATAGGTTGTTGATTTTCTCATCCATTGGTGTAAGAATTGTATGACCATTACTCTGAATTCATTTTCAGTCATGTTGCATGCTTCAATTTTACTAATTTCCTTTCTTGGTGACTCCTCATTTTCTTTCTTCTGGGGATTGTGTCGTCTCCCCATTCAGACTATCACCAGAGGGTTCAAATGTTGAGTTGCATGGGACTGGGCCGTGTGCAGTGGCAGCTTTGCACCACCCGAGTGTCACTGAAGAGCTCTGACACCAAGACGTGTGGCATCCATGGGTTGGTGCGAACCGGGCTTGCCCAGGGTCAGCGTTACGAGCACTCAGTGTGGCCTCGTGCATGCACCTAGAATCAGGGACCCTGCCTGCACCACGCTGAAACAGAGACCTCGCTGGCATGTGCAGAAAATCAGAGTCCCCTAGCACAAGCCAGGAGTCAGAGTTCCCCTGTGCCTGCACCAAGAATCGAGTATCAGAGTCTCTGTTGCTTCGTGCGGCCTTGCGCTGAGAATCAGGGTCCCTGTGTGTGCATGCACCAAGAATTGGAGTCACTGGCTCTTAGTGTGTATGCACTGTGAGTCAGGGATCCCAGGCCTACGTGATAAGAAACAGAGTCAAGTCACTGGTGCTCAGTGCTGCCTCCCGCCCAGAGAATCGGGATCCAGGTCAGCTTGGGGGACTGGGTTGCACAGTAGCAGTGTGTCGGCAGGAGGTCCACTCCTGCACTGCGGAAAACAGACTTCCATGTGCTGCTTGCCCAGAATCGAAGTCAGGTGGCACTTCTGTCCTGTGTGGGCTTCGGGTTTGGTCACCCGATTGCATTGGGGGGAACAGATTCCCAGTGTCCGCACGCTCCCAGGCTCAAATTCCTGTAGCAGGGCTATGGCCTGTGCAAGGGGCAGGTCTACCAGTTACTATGGCGCTGCCAGTGAGCCTGTAGGGAGGGGGATAGGCTCTGTGACTCACAGAAATCTGCGACCGGGATGTCTGGATTTTTGGTGTCTGTGTGTCTGCAGCTGTGGTCTCAGGTCTCTGTCCCCAGTGGCTGCAGGGTCCTGGTTTGTGTCTGAGACCAGACTGGATGGTGCTGAGGCCAGGATCCAAGTCTCAACCAGCTCTGTTTCTCAAGATGGCGTGATCTCTGTGCCTGCGCTGGCCGCCCCGGAGTGTCCGCGCTGGGAGCGGGGCTCCGCCGTCTAAGACTGCCCAGTTTGGCAGCCCCTTGGAAGACCTGCAGAATCTAACTGTCCCTAGCTCATACACACACACACACACCACACAGGTCCACACACTCCTCTATCGCTCCCTTGCGCTCTCACACTCTCTCCCTCCCTACCTTCCTGCCAGTCACCATCTTCCTTCCCCTTCCTAAAATTTTTTTTATGTCTTCTATTTTTTTGCTGAGACTTTCTGTCTTTCCACTTGTTTCAAAAGAATTTGTTCTTCTTGGAGCTGCTTTAAAACCCTTTTCAGATATCTTCTGTGTCATCTTGGCATTGGTATCTATTGATTATCTTTTCCTATCTGAGTTGAGATTTTTCTCTTCTTTTATATACCTTGTAATTTTGGATTGTATCCTGGACCTTTTGAATATCATGGTTTAATACTCTGGATCTTGTGTAAATCCTATGATGAATGTTTGTATTTTTCTTGTAGCAGGCAATTAATGCAGTTGGGCTCAGACTAAAAGTTCTGACCAGCCTTCTGTGGACTTTGGTTTCAGTGTTCTGTTCTCACACTTGGAAGTACTGTTTGGATATGCCCTGTGTATGTGCCACCCAGTGGTCAAGTGGTCTGCCCCCTAGTTCTGATCTTAACATCTTTGCTATGCTGTTTAGGATTACATTTTCACATGTGCAGCTTTGAGGTGAGCCTAGGAATTTATACACAACTTTCTGGAATAGCTAGCTTTCTCAAGCTCCTTTCTCTCTGAGATCTTCCTAGAAAGCTTCCATTACACTATTCTGCCAGGCATTTCCCATATCTGGGGGTAGGCATCAGGAGCATAGAGAGAGAAAAAAGCCATGGGGGCTCACATTACCCTTTTGGACCCACAGCTCCTTTGATTGGAGAGAAAGCTTTATCCCCTCAGTACTTTAGGTGTTTGTGGTTACTGAGGCAGCCACCGGGTTAGCCTGGGTACAAAAGTGTAGAGGCAAGGGGTGGGGGAAAGAAAAGAAATATGGGGGCTTTCCCCCATTCCCTCTGATTGTTAGCCAAAAGAAAAGTGCTTCTCTTAGGGTATTTACTGCATCCTGGTTCCCACTTCTGGTTTTCAGGCTGCCTTGAGTCCAGGTCAGGGAATACTAGAAGAAAAATAGGAAACTTACCACCAGTCCAGTGGTACTTGAATTCCTATCTTCTAACCCTCTCCACCTGCCCCAATATACTTTCTTGAGTTCCCATATAGCTTCTCCATACATTCTGCCCAGCTTTTATATCTGCGTTCAATGAGAGGGACAAAGTGGAGTATGTTTGCTCCAACATAGTCTGAACCAGAACTTGGTATGTTATCTGTTAATTTTTGTTTTTTAAGTGTCTGCCTCTTTTTTTATTGCAATAACACGGCTTTATTGTAGAAATCTTAGAAAATAAAGATAACATCTTCTGTAAACTCATAAACTGAAGAAAACTGTTATTTTGGTGTATCATCCTTTCTTATTTCGTATACTAGTAAATATTTTTTCCACTTTAAAAATAAATTAGATAATCAATAAAAATATTAGTGATTTTAACAAGTAATCTTAAGACCCAGATACTACTGACTTGATCTTATGTTGTTTATACTAAATCTTGTATTTTCCATAGGTAGTAAGTCTTTGTCCTCAAATTGGCTGGGTTGAAATTGATCCTGATGTTCTCTGGCTTCAGTTTGTTGCTGTAATAAAGGAATCTGTCAAAGGTAATTGGATTTATGAAAATAAAAATAGTAAAGTATATTTTGTTTGTAATAAGAATTTTCCTCGAGAGTCTGTAGAATTTTGTGGGCTTCCTAGGTTATACACATATAGCATTTTATTGGGGTCACAATGTCAATCTGTTTTGACCAAAAATGTCAAGGCAAACAAAAGTGTTACTTCTGGGGTTGGAAACATACATTTGGTTAGAAACCAACTATATTCCGAACATGAAAGAAAGGGAAAGAGTTTGTGAAGACAGAACAAGGTGGCTTCCAAAGAGTTACATGAGCTGCTTTGAAAGAACTGTGACTGGTGCTGGCAAGCAGACTTACACTATGCTGTACATGACTAATTGCATATGTCTATTGCTAGGTGAAAAGTTTATTTTTTAACAGCGAGTTCAGTGATGTAGAGCCAGGATGTAGCCATTTGGGTTAGCCCAGTTCAAAAGTTCAATTTCACGTGGTGAGTGTGAGCTAGCTTAGCTTCCTGGAAGCCTTCTGGCTCCATTTTAGATTGCTCTCTTGACAATTTCAACTCCATTTTTTTTCTGTTTTTCTTTCACAGCAGTTTCCCAGTATTTTTTAGGAGACATTGCAGTTCATAGTAAACTGCTTTCTCAAGGAATGGAAACAGCAACTCTGCCCTCTGGTTTGAGTTTTCTCAGCCATAGTTTAAAGGCTCACATTCTGTCTTTATTCCAGGTTGCAGCTGGTGCCTATTTGTTTTCCTATTGTGTACAAAATGCCAGAGGGTTATAAACAAAATTATAACACACAGTTCCTGCTGTCAGGAGTTACACTGAGTAACCTTTATTATAAAATACTAGAGGCCCGGTGCATGAAATTTGTACATGAGAGTGGGGGGTCCCCTCAGCCCAGCCTGCACCCTCTCCAATCTGGGACATCCCTCTCACAATCCGGGACCGCTGCCTGATCACCTCTAACCGCCTCTGCCTGCCAGCCTGGTAGCCCCTAACTGCCACCCCCTTGCCAGCCTGATCACCCATAACTGCCTCTGCCCACTGGCCTGATTGCCCCTTACTGCCCCCCCCCTGCCGGCCTGGCCGCCCCCAACTGCCCCTCCCCCCTGCCTGGTTGCCCTCCCTTCCAGCCTATTAGCCCCCAACTGTCCCCCCTACCGACCTGGTCGCCCCTAACTGCCCCCCCTACCAGCCTGGTTGCCTCTTACTGCCCCCCCCCTGCCAGCTTGGTTGTCCCCAGCTGTCCCCCTCTGCCAGCCTGGCTGTCCCACGCAGCCTGCTGTTCAGTCGTTTGGTCGTCCCTCACTAATCCCCCTGCCGGCCTGGTTGCCCCATGCAGCCTGCTGTTCGGTCATCTGTCAGTTGTTTCGGTTGTGATTGCCCCTGGCTTTTTATATATTAGGATGTGTTTTTTTTTTAAAATTATATTTTATTGATTTTTACAGAGAGGAAGGGAGAGGGATAGAGAGTTAGAAACATCGATGGGAGAGAAACATCGACCAGCTGCCTCCTGCACACCCCCTACTGGGGATGTGCCCACAACCAAGGTACATGTACTTGACTGGAATCGAACCTGGGACCTTTCAGTCCGCAGGCCGATGCTCTATCCACTGAGCCAAACCAGTTAGGGCTGTATTAGGATGTTTTTGATTTTTCTGTGTGGCCTCTCCATTCAAAGTGCTTTCCTGGCTGCTGCCATGGTCTGAAATCTTAGCTCTTTAAGAATGTTTTCAGTGCCACTCTTTTAAAGAACATATGAAACATGTCTTGTAAATGTAAATCCTGAAAGGTCTTTTACTTTATTTTTCTGGCTGAATTACTTTTCACCTATTTGGTTTGAAATATTTCAAAACCTATAAAATTTTGCACGAATAGTACACTGAATACTTATAGAGATTCAGACATGTTTTGCAGTGTTTACTGTATCATCCTCTACAAACTTTTTGGCTGATTCATTCGAGGGTTGGTTGTGATATAATAACAATATCCCTAAATATTTCAGCATTATTTCCAAAGAAAAGTACTATTCTCCTATATCACCACAGCCAGGAAATTTAACATTAATATGGTGACAACTGATGGACATTCACACCAATTTAACAGAAATTCCCATTTTGGGGTACTGTGAGGAAGGAAACTTTATTTAGTGCAAAACAGCTCAATTGTGATACAGCAGGGCTGTGAAAACAGTACAGGAGTGAGGCATCCGTGGGCCAGGTGGCCCTGGTACCAGGCTCCTTTCTGGCTAGACAGCTCTGCTCTGAGCTAGTCTGCTTTCTTCTGCACTGTTCTGCTCTGCTCTAGTGAGACATCTTCAGTATGTCAGCTCAGCAATGGAAACATAGCTCTTAGTCCTTGGTGGAAAGGGAAGAAAGTGGGCTCCCAGAGCCAGAGGGGAGCTGACATATAGACAGATGTCTCTGCCCCTGGTCCCTGATTGGTCTGTCTTCATGCAAATAAGGACCCCAAATCCTCACAGTTTGATTGGTCCAAAAGGCACTGTCCTGATTGGTCAGAATGGAACTGCTCTGATTCGTCGATTGGTCAGTGAAGATGTTGATGGGGGATATAGCTGTGCAGCTCCAATTGGATGGGGAAAGCCTCAGTTTCATTGGTTAAAGTAGGATTCCAGGAACTCCTTGATAAGGAGCCTGGTAGCTGGCAGGAACACAGTGCAGGCAGGCAGCTTAGTGCAAGCTTCTCCCTAAAGTGCAGTTTGCATGAGAGGGCCCTGTGTAGAAATGGCTTCTAGGTTCTGTTTTTTAAAATTTGAGTCCAGTTAGCCATCAGGAGCCCTTCTTATTGGGTGTCTTCCTTCTCAGAGTCCACAACAGTATTATTTTCTAATGCTTATTAGATTCCAGTATTCCCATATTACCTCAGTCATTAACAACTTTTGTTTTCAATCCAGAATCTAACCTAAGATGAGGCATTGCATTTAGCAGTCAATCTATTTAGTCTCATTTAATCTAGAGCATGTTCTTTGTGACATTGACAAGTTTCCAAAATTACAGACCAGCTTAGTAGATTGTCCTGCATTTTGGGGTTGTCTGATTACTTCCTCATGGTTCAGGTTAAGAATTTTTGGGAGGCGTAGGGGATGTTTTGTCTTTCTCTGCTCAAATTGAAGTTGTCTTTAATTTGCTCAATGGGATAAATGCTTTTTTAAAAGAACTTCACAAAAAACTTGCTATATTTTAAGAAATTTGGACCAAAAAACCCCACTATGTTTTTGTTCATGTGGAAAATAAGATTTGAGTTTCACTGGGGATTTTCCTTTATTGCCATCTACCAACTTCTATTATGATTGATCATTGCTTAAATTGAGATCCAATATTTTAGTATTATCAAGAAGAAAATATAATCTGACTTTTAATAGTGTTTGTTTTTTTCAAACATTTAAAGATGAAGGTCATTTTGCTATTATTGGAATATGGCCATTTTCCCTTAAGGGAATCATCTTAGTAATGCTCTCTTTATTAATGCCAAATGTGTTATTAGAATGCCAGGTAGGGCCCTGGCCAGGTGGCTCAGTTGGTTGGAGTGTTGTCCCGTACACTGAAAGGTTCAGGGTTCAATTCCTGGTCAGGGCACATACCTTGGTTGCAGGTTCAATCCCTAGTCGGGGTGCATATGCGAGGCAGCCAATCAATGTTTCTCTCGCAGATTGATGTTTCTCTCTCTCCCTTCCTCTCTCTCTAAAAAAAAATTTTTTTAAATTTAAATGCCAGGTAGGTACTGGAAATATCAGAGGAACACTTTGTAAAGTATATGATTGCCTAACTACTATGCTGTACACCTGTAACCAGTACAAAATAATATTGAAACAATAAAAAAAGAAAAACAATGCTAAACCTATATGTTTTTCTTAAAGATTATACTCAATAATTTCTTTTCCATACTACAATTTATAAAGAAAAATTTCATTGACTTTTAAACATGTGATTTATCCATCTTTATTTTCAGCTGCAGGAATAGAGATGAATCAAATTGTTGGACTTGGCATTTCAACACAGAGAGCAACTTTTATTACGTGGAACAAGTAAGTGTGATAAGCCTTCTGTTGCTGGGTTCATATCACAGTGAATACCTGTTTTGGGAGTTTCAAGTTTGTGAATTAAGAACAGTTTTGTTTTGTTAAGAGGGATGAAAGTAAGCCTACTCTCTGCCTTATTAAAATATATTCCTGCATGTCACCTGGGCTTGACTTATATAAAAGAATAACAATAAAAAGACTGTTGCTGTTATTAAAATTATCCATTTACTTTCTTTGGTGTGAGTTAGTTTTTCAAATAAGCCTTGATTGAAGACCTTAAAAATGAGTTTATACCCAAAAAGATTCAGGGGAACCTGACAGACTTCAGAAACACATGACTATGACTATGGTTTATATTTTCATTGTACTTCAAATTTCATATTTAAGTACATACAGCATAAGAAGTATATATAGATTAAACATGGTTATAATATCCTAATAGCTACCATATAGTGAATACCTGTGATAGTATTCAGGTTCCATTATCCTTGCAAAGAAACCTGTTATTTTGGTAATTTTATAGAGAAAGAAATTGAGGCTTAGAGAAATAAGTAACTTGTTCAAGCTCACTTAGTAAGTAGAAACAAGATTCCAAATTATCTTTTTACCCCAAAACACATGCTCTTTCCACTACTCCTATTTGCCTTCAACATGTGTTTCTTACTTTGAAAATAATAACAGAAACACTGTAAATGCTTCTTTGTTACAAAGCACTAGGCTGCAAAGGGCATCTTGAGCTTGGGGCAGTGAGGGAGATTGCTGGTGGGTATGGGGCATGGGGGAGGTCTAAGAAATATAATGAGGGTGAATTCATAAGGACTTGGCCTTGCAGTCACTATTAGGCAAGAGGAAGAAGTTCAAATTTAACAGGATTTCTGGCTTGATGTTTGGAAGGATATGATAGAGCTTGTAGAGAATATAAGACAAAGAATGAGTTGGTGATGAAGGTGGGTAGAAGGGAACATGATACAGTGTTTGGCTTGGGAACATGTGCATGTAGAGATATCCCAGAGGTGGTTAGAACATTGCCCTGGTTTAGACTGATGCATGTCTCATCTCCTCCAGATAGGTGCTCGTTCTTTCACAGCATAATGCTTCTCAGGTTGACCCTATATCTGTAGTCCCCCTGAAATTTTCCCCCCGCCCCCCAACTCCCCACCCAGTGACTTGGGCACATCAAGTCTTAAATAGGTAATATATTTTTCAGATGAGTAATAATGAAGTAAAGTCGTCAGTGTACTGTGTAGATCAGAATTTCTACTAGTAAATAGTGGCAATATTGACATTTTAGGCCTGATCATTCCTTGTTGTAGGACTGTCCTGTGCATTGAAGGATGTTTAGCAGCATCCCTGCCTCTATTTACTAGATACCAATAGCCTCCTCCTGCAGTTTCTACAACCAAAAATGTCTCCAGATACTGCCAAATGTCCCCTGGGTGGGGGGCAGAATCATTCCTACTTGAGAACTGTTGACGTAGGTGAAGTCTAGAGAAGTAGGTGAGTTCTCTGGTGGGATTATACATAATGGATAGAAGAGAAGAAGACTGGATTTGGACAATGAGTCACTTTGGGAAGTGGATGATATGGAAATAGAGGCAGGATAGTGTTCATAGGGAAAAAAAACTGTTTGGAAGTATAATGAGTGGTTGGATTTGGAAATTAGGTCATTAGCCACAGAGATTGCTTTCATCAGAACATGATTATCGGGTCATTCATGACATGAAGCTTAAAGTATTAGGAAGCCAAGTTTTCCTGTGGCAGTAGGATCATCTCAGTTTTGGGAGAAATTGAAGAGCCAGATTCCAAGATAGTTCACTTTTCTTACTGGTGTGGCTGCTGGAGAAGGGTAAGATTTCTTCCTAAAACAATTAATTGGGAGTTTCTTCTTGGCTGTCCTTCTTTGAGATGTTTGTAGTCTTTCAAGAGTTTTGGAAACTTTGCTTGTACGAACTGAAATACTGAATATTAAAAAAAACAAAAACAAACAAAAATGGGCACAGAAGGCCTTGTGCTTCTTTTATCTTGAAACTAGAGGCCTGATGCATGAAATTCGTGCAAAGGGCTCAGCCCTTGCAACCGTGGCAGCTTGCCTTGGCCCTCGCAGCTGTGGCTTCATCTGGAAGGTCGTCTGGAAGGACGTCTGGCTGTCTGGTCTAATTAGCATATTAAGTTTTTATTATTATAGATAATGGAACCTTTTCTGCTCCCTGGGCCCCGGGGAGCCATTGTGCCTGTAATGCTGGCAGGTTCTACAGGCTCCCTGACATGACACTTCTCATTTTTTGAGAGAAAAAGAGGCAGACTGAATCTAATATATTGTTCATCCCAGTCCCAGCCAGCACCTTTTCTTCCCAACTCACTGTCTTCTCCTGTGTCCACAGTATGTTCTGTGTCTGTGGCCACAGAAACAGTATTTTCCTTATAGATGCTGTCAAGAAGTCTAAACTTTGAACTTTCTTTTTGTTTTTCTCTTTGTGCCCTTTCCATCCTACCACCTTGTGATGCCAGGAAACTTGTTATTTATTCACTTTTCTTCAGTTCTTGAGTTTTTTGTTTTTGTGTGTGTTTTTTTCAAATTCTTTAGGTTAAATTTTTTTCAATACATTTAAGCATGTCCTCTTTCCACTACCCCCACTTACCTGTATTCTAAAATTACTCTAAATAATATCTCCTCCATTTTGGTTGCTTTAAATTTCTTTTGTTCTAAAAAAAATTCTTAAGCTGTTTTGTTTCTTCAGTCCTCTGCCTCTCAGGGAGGCTTCTGCCAGCTAACCTCAGATCAGGGTGTATACCAATTAGTAACATAAGCTGAGAGTCCCAGGAGCCAGGGTTCACTCAGCACCGGGCACTGAGAGGGAGGATGGCACTGTGCTGGTTGCTGAACTGAATGTAAAGATGAATAAGAATGCCAGCCCTCAAGGCAGTTATAGTTTCATAATACAAGTCCATAAATTTTGTAGTACTTATGTTAATGGCTCTTACTAATTACTTATGACACACAATACATTAAGAGCCACAGAATGCTATAATGTGTTAAGAGGTTTAGGGCAATTCATTTATAATATTGCCATTCATGTTTCTCCTTAATTTCTCCATTTACTATTGGCAGAGATAAACCTAAATTACTACTCAATGAATATCAGAATATATGCTACTACTTGAGCTTAGGATTCCACATAGTCTTCTACTGTGTTATGAATTAATATGCTACTTTCATCTTGTATCTTCTCCCTGCTGCACTAGCTGTAAACATATGATGCTTCATGCTGCCTTGGAAACTTGGAACATATAATGCATTTTGTTGGGAGTGTTCACCCTCCTTGTTTTTTCTGACTCATCCTTCAGAGCACAGTACCATTTTCACTTCTCAAAGAAGCTTTTCCTGACCCCTGAGTAGGCAGAATCTATCTTCCTGTTAAATATACACATGGCACCCGTGTTTCTCCTTTAAAGGACTTATTCCTGTTTTAAGTAGGCCATTGTATAATTATTTGTTTGACTTCCCTGGTAGAAAATATATTCACAGGGGCAAAGATGAGATGTCTCTCTGTTCACAGCTGTGTCCCAGTTCCTGGCACATATTGCTATATAAATTTTTGCTGAATCAGTGATTAATAATAAGATTCAAGTGTATAAATAGCTGCTATTGTAGAATGGATCCAAAGAATCATATATCAATAGATTTAATATCTGTCAAACACAATCTGATAGTTATTATTGGTAGAGAACATTTTTTCATTTATCAAATACTTCTTTGGTATCTGGATCAGGTGGTGAGAATCTGAAAGTGAAAAGACTGTGCCCTCAGGAGGCTCACAGTCTAGTGGTAGATACAGATGTGTACATTACATAGATAGTTGGGGTACAGCCTGATAGATGTCTGCCCTGTAGACTGCATTATACCTGGCAATGAAAGAGCTGGAGGGGGAGATTGAATAGTGGAGAAGAGGGAGTTAGGGAAGGTTTCCCAGAGGCACTTAAGCCAAGTGTTTTTTGTTTTTGTTTCTTTGTTAAGCCTCACCTGAGGATATTTTTTTCCATTGATTTTTTCTTTATTTTTTTTAGAGAGAGAGTAGAAAGGAGGGAGGGAGGAAGAGAGAGAGAGACATCGATGTGAGAGAGACACATAGATTGGTTGCCTCCTGCACATGCCAGAGATGAAACCTGTCCTTGACTGTAAATAGAGCCTGTGACCCTTCAGTCCATGGGCTGATGCTCTAACCACGGAGCACCGGCCATGGCTGGAACCAAGTCTTGAAGGAAAAATAGGAGTGTCCTAAGTGGGAAGGGCAAATTACTGGCAAGGGCATGAGGAATAAGAGACTGTTATGTCTGAAGCATCAAAAGTACTTTGGAAATTAGGGTTGAAATAGGGATGGTGCCACGCCCCAGCATTGGCCTCCTTTCCTACTCTGACTCTACCTCTGACCACCCTCCTCTTGTCCTAGGCTCCAGCCACATGGGCTTGCTCTCTGTTTCTGGACCACTCCACCCTGGCTGTTACATTTGGGAGGAGTGGCTTTGCACCTGTTGTTCCCTCTGCCTGGATCTCTCTTACCTGAGACTTATGTCTTTCTCATCATTCAGACCCTACCTCCAAGATCACTTCTTCTAAGAGACCTTCCATGACCATTTTACTTTCCCATCACTTCGTTATTTTATTGTTTTCATATCACGTACTATGTAAAATTTTTGTTTGCTTCTTTGCATATATATTTATTACATCTCTCTGACAAGTAAGAAGTTCCATGAGTATTGGGAATTTTGTCTGCCCTGTTCTCACTGGGTACTTCACACCTAGGACAGTACCTGGCACATAGTAGGCACTCAAATCTCTGAGTGATTGAGGTGAAACTGGAGGTTCCCAGGTTGTAGTAAGAAGTTTGCCTCTTATAAGCAGTGGGAAATTATAAAAAGACTAAAGGCCCGCTGCACAAAAATTTGTGCACTCGGGGGGCGGGGGGAGGGGGGTCCCCCAGCCCGGCCTGTGCCCTCTCGCAGTCTGG